CCCCGCTGACCGCCGGCGGCGGCGGGGGAGAGGCCGTGAGCGAGCGGGCAGCCGCGCTGGTCTTAGCGAGCAGCATGCGAGAACGGGTAGGAAGGTATGGCTGAGCAGAGTGTGGCCACAGAGGTGTTTAAGAGGGGCGCTTCACCAGAGGGAGTGCCGGAGGAGTGAGGTGTCCGCACAGTACCACAGGCACCCGTGAGGAAACGCCCATCCCGAGGGAGCAGTGTCCCCACAAGAAATTATAACACTCGCAATTTTGGGAGACTGTCATGTGAGAAAGAGTTGTAAAAAAAATTGTGGTATGTTTATTTCTTAGTTGAATTTTATTTAATTCTTCTCCGGTACGTGACGTGGGTAGGCTGCAATCAGACTTCATGTAATTCACGTTTATTCCAAAAAGCGCACAGACACTTCTGTTCATCACAGGCCACAGAGACATCCCTGTGCCCTGCCATGGCACTAAGCTACGGGTTGCAGTCTGCAGTTGACCCCAGAACAGCTGGGAGCGGCCCATGTCACGCCTGGAAACGACAAGCAAGCTGCACACTCCCATCCCACAGAGCAGAAGACGAGCCACCGACTTGCTTTAACTCTTCAACTAAAATGTGTTAACACGCGGTGCCTGTTAGTGATGTTTAGGGCTCTGGTAAAAACACCAAAACTTTGCCAAAGTCTAAATCTGTACAATAACAGGTATTTCCTAAAGGCCCGGGAGTTCTAGGAAATAGAGCGTGCACACACTATGGGAAGCACAAAGTCCTCAGTGGTGGTGTGTCCTTAGGCGCATCCTAAAAAGTACTACTTCAGACTATAGTCAATTACCTGTAATTATTAGTATCTCAGTTCTTTCATATATAGACTTTATCGTCTAGACTACATGTTCAGCAACTGTAAATTCTAAAAATGTTTATTTTGGATACTGAGCATAATAATCAAATGCGTAATTTTCCTCATGTATTTAAAGAATTTTATTCCAGTGCTGGATCAGGAATTTAAAGGTCCTGAATTAGCAATGTAAGCCATTTTAATGACAGTAAATTGCTGAATTTTTGTTTTCTGAAAAAATTTAAATCTACATCTGCCCTTCATCATTGACCAAGTAAATGCTTATCTTCCAGGAGTGTCGTCTCTTAATGAAACCTAGAGTCAGACATGTTTTACTTGGTGAGAAAATGAATAAAGTTTGTCTTTTGAATACATATTTTGATTCAATTTTGCTACTGTAGGATCTATTTTACCTATCCATGCTGTAAGTGACTAATTTCCTCTTCAAACTTTTCAGTGTAATTTCCTGTGTCGTCTCGAACAGCAGTCTGCAGACCTCCATTCCGGCCTGAGCTCATGTTCCAGAGACATTTCCGCAATCACTGCTTTAACTGGGAAGTACAATTACGTTGCTTTTCACTGCTTGCCTGCACGTAGTGTTGCCTTCGTTTACAATTTACAAAATGAGTTTGCTTCCTACTAATATAGCAGTTATATTCAAACATGCTGTTTAGCTCTGTGACTGTTTATCTCCAGCACTACCTTTTGTGCCTTTTACTTTCTGCATTTATCTGCGTCAGTGAGTTGCTAAGTTTCTTCACAGATGACCCGAATCAAGACATAGGAAATGTAAAGATCTTTTAGAAGTAGTTATTCTGTTGATTACGTAGTGATATCTTATGGACTCTAATCTTTTAGATAGCGATCTAACACTGCTGATGTGTGCTCGGAAGTGTTTTGTTGCCTTTGCTGAATGGGGTTATCTGGAGGAGATGTTTTGTGGATCCTCTGAACTGAACACTTACTTATAAATGATGATAAAACAGGTGATAAAAAATAGATTCCACGTAGTAATTTACCTTCGTAACAATGAATTAAATATTTGCCAGGCCTTCAAATGCTATGATAAGGGCCTTTTAAATTAGAAATCTATTTTAATTATTTGAAAATAAAGTATTAGGTAGTATTACCATTTTGCTTGCAGGGAAAAAAAAAAGTAGTTTACTAGCAAATTTGTAAAAATATTAGGAAGTTTCTAAAGTACACTGAGTGTTCTATACACAGTTACAGATTGGTTTTTTTTTTTCTTGGAAGTGTTTATATTCTTAAAAACTGCCAAACTCCACTAATGTGGCTTTATGGGCTCCTATTTATAAACGCATGCCTATTTGTCAAGAATAGAGGTGGAATTCACAAGGGTTTTATAAAGATAGCATTGTGCTGAGACAAATTTGAGTTACATATTCTGAAAAATATCCTTCCTGACACCTAGAGGCCATCAATAAAAATGCTAAAAAACCCGCAAAACCAACTCGTCCTAAAAAGGGAAAGCAAATTTAACAAGCTAATGATTTTCCCTATGAAGAAAATGTTATGCAACATTTAGATTGGCATTACAGTATCAAATAAGCAAAAATTACAGCAGAATGTGACCACTGTTGTAAAATTTTCTGTGAACATTGCCCCTGTCTGTAGAAAATTAACAAGAAATAAGCTATGTTGTATACATCACCTGTCATGAAATATTTTCTGTTAATTCAATCTGAGATATTTTAAGAAGTCATGTATTTATTCTAGATCATGGGGTGCAGTATGCAGACGACATAAAAGTTTAAGTATACCGGAGTAAAAAAAAGCGACACCTTAAATATCGGTGTGAACCCACGAACTTGGTATTTATAGTCCCATGCAAAACACTTCTGTTCTTTGAAAGTCAATTTTTGAACAGCTTTGCTCCACTGAAGTTTGGACTTTAGAGCTTAAGGATCTATTCTAACTCCAGGGCTTCCAAAACAACTTTTATTTTCATTGAGGTACTCTCTAGCGAATGCAGATCAGTTTGTATGAAGAACCAAAAATAATGGTCATTAGGTACATTTAAGGGAAGTCCTTTTGAACGTAAGTGTTTTTACTCAAAAGCTGTTCAATTAAATTCACCTGCTGCTTTTAAAGACTGTATTAAACCGTGCTGGAGGCAGTTTAATAGGTTTTCGAAGTAACTACACAGAATTTTTAAACTCTGTCCACAGAATGTGTATCACCAGGTGACTAAAACAATTTCTGATGCGATTTTAATGACCGAACTGGAAGACTGCCACGTTCCCTGGGCGGCTCGGCCTAGCACAGGGCTCTGCCTCACCCCTCATCACCAAACCTCGGCCGTTACAGCAGGCGGTGCGACTCAGAACCGCAGCTCGGTCTCCTCTCTAACGGGCGGTGGGTACACAGGCGGGCGGAGGAGGACGGCCCC